CACTCTCGCGGAAAGCTCCGTCCTCATCGGCGGGGATGGAAGTGAGGTGGGGCTTACGCTTGGCCAGCATCTTGAGGAAAGTGTGGTTAAACCCTGAACACATAGAACGGGCGACGAAGTTCGTCCAAGCCTCAGTTCATACCAAGCAAGCAAAAGGGAACACAAACATGCAAAGCCAATGAACAACGCTCATTGACTGCAAACAAATGCATGTCGCACACTGCAAATAGGCGTGAGACATGCACCACGATACACATACACACAGCATCCAGCCAGCCACCTCACAGCCCCGGAGCGGGGCTGGTATGTGGCCTATACGGCCCGCGGCTAACGAAGTCCTCAGAAAACGCGCTGGCCCTCCGTGGCCCTCTGGCGGCCGTCGCACGCTGTGCACGACTCGCCACTTGAAACGCGTTGTGCTTCATCAGCTCGACGAACAGAAGCTGGCTCCAATGGTTGACGATGCTCTCTCGAAAAGCTGCGTCCTCGTCGGCGGGGATGGAGGGAGGGCGAGGCTTCCGCTTGGCGAGCATCTTGAGAAAATCCACCGGCTTCTCTCTGCATCTGCCGAAAGTCTCCGCAGCGAGAGGGACAAAGCGAAAGCCAGCTGCTTGAGCGGTTGGGCCATACTTGTCGATCTTGTCTTTCTCCACAAGCTGCGCCGTCATGCCACCTGGAAGTTGTGCGCTACGCCGTTGACTGTCCGGTGGAAGGGGATGGGAGAGTCGTTAGGCCGGCAGGGGTGGGCAATGGTGACATCGAGCAGATAGTCATGGTCGTCGATCACGCAGTAGATGTCCGTGCGCTGGCTGTTGGGGTTGTCGTCAAGCGGGGTGACACCGAGGCTGTGCAGAGGCACCTCCACATTGGAAGGAACGTCTGTCCCACCAAGGATGCGAACAAACAAGTTGCGCATATTCTTGGGTCTCGTCACCCGCTCACAGCCGGTGTGACACAGGTAGTAGTGATCGCCAAACTTGTCAACCTCCCCACTGCAGGTGCATCGCTGCGATACGGTTGCATGCGAGAGGCTAACACTGAGACACTCGGCGACGGCGTGGCGATACTGGAAGTTGTTCAGTGCCTTGTTGTTACTGGAAGGGATCGCGGACAGCCAAC